GGTTTACCTGTCAGTCTGGGAGAATTTGCGGGTTTACCTGTCAGTCTGGGAGAATTTGCGGGTTTACCTGTCAATCAGTGAGAATTTGCTGGTTTACCTGTCAGTCTGGGAGAATTTGCAGGTTTACCTGTCAGTCTGGGAGAATTTGCAGGTTTACCTGTCAATCAGTGAGAATTTGCAGGTTTACCTGTCAGTCTGGGAGAATTTGCAGGTTTACCTGTCAGTCTGGGAGAATTTGCAGGTTTACCTGTCAGTGAGAATTTGCAGGTTTACCTGTCAGTCTAGGAGAATTTGCTGGTTTACCTGTCAGTGAGAATTTGCTGGTTTACCTGTCAATCAGTGAGAATTTGCAGGTTTATCTGTCTGGGAGAATTTGCAGGTTTACCTGTAAGTCTGGGAGAATTTGCAGGTTTACCTGTCAGTGAGAATTTGCAGGTTTACCTGTTGGAACAGCTGTAATTAACTAAAGTCATTCAAAACTTTCATCCTGTTTACTGAGTTCACAGCCGTCTCAGCTGTTGACAGTAAAGTTACACCCAAAGAGTCTCTGTTCCATTTATGACTTCTTAAATCTGCAAAATGCCCAGTTTACTTCAGACTGTCATTCATACATTTCAGTTTCAGGCTTTATTGTGATCCAAGAAATCTTTATGTAATTACTGCCTGTGTAATCACACAGAGGACTGTCTGTGGACACTGGCAGTTAGCCACTGAACTCCTTGTCCTTGTCTGGTTCTGTCACCGGCCCTTATCACCAGTCATTGAGATAATTTGTATATTTAATCTGGGGGAGACCAAGCGAGGGCACAAAGCTTTGATAGGGCAGTTCAGACTTTTTATCCCAGCTGTATTTGCATCCTGGCTACTGGAGCCTGCTCAAGCTTGTATTTGCTGCTCAGATCAACAGAAAGAAACTGAATACTCATAATTAAATTGCACAGTGAAGGAGTCTGAATTTTAATTTGGGATTAAATGGGATTGAAAAGGGTACACTATAACCTAACAGACTTGCCTGTCATCATTCAGGTTTAACAACCACAGCGAGGCGACCCAGACCTCCAGAGGATTATACACCTCCAGTAATGGAACAGCCCGAGTGGGAGGCCGACAAGACAAGAGTCGGACCTTATCAGACTCGGACAGCCAAGATAAGAGGTCCAGGATCTCCTTTAATCCCCCATCTATGCAAACTATTTCATCTCAGTTGTCCAAAGGAAGTTCCTCGTCAGGTCAAGACGGCCCCGCAGCTCCGTGCCAATTAATCAGTCGAAAACCTCGGAACATTAAACAACCGGACCCCCAGAGTCAAAGTTTAGCTGGGTCGTCACTTCCTCACAGAGACCCCTGCCCCGAGGACCCAGAATACGCCAGCCTGGTAGGAGCCATGGACAACGACCTGGACCGTCCAGAGTCGCTGGCTGCCGAGGCTCTACAGGAGCGGACCTCTCGGTCCGTTCAAAACAAAGGTACTCGTGTTTGTTTTCACCAAAAGACAAGAAATGTGCTCATGTGCCGTTTTCAGATTTTAATATATTCTTCTGCTTTCAGCGTTGGAAAACAAAGGGAAGCAAAAATCAAAAGTGAAAGGCCTTAAAAAGAAGGAAGAAAAGGAGAAAAAATCTGTAAAGAGTGCAGGAGAGGACACGGTGGACAACGACGACAGCTCCTCCACCACCACAGAGACCTCCAATCCAGATGTGGAGACGAACCTCAAAGAGGTCCACCGTGATGTACGGTTACAGTCCAAAGAGCAACTCTGTCCACACTTTATTCACTTCAAATTAGGGATGGGAAAACGTCCCTATTTTCAGATCATAAGATTGTCACTGGCTATCGCCGATAGACGATCCAGTCGGCTGATAAGGCATGCGCATTTACGTTTAAAAAAAGGGGGAAAAAAAGGCAAGCAGGCTCGCTTATTATTAGCGACAGCTTCTTTTTTCCTAAAGTCGCTTGTAAATTACGTGGTTATTCGGCATTCGTGTTCGCACACACCTTTCATAGTTCCTGAGACCCCCGCGCCAAGCTCCTGGGAAACCCCCCTCCCCGCTGCTGCATCCGTCACTACAGGGAATTTCTCTACCGGTGGAGTCCAATGCGGAAAAATAAAAGTCCGACACTCGTCACTCAAGTTGTTTATCCACAAACTGGTCCAGGTTTAAGCTCAAAAGGTTTTATCAGTCAGATTTCGCCATGAAAATAGTCTATTTTATCCCCTTTTATGAGGTTTTGGCCATTTGACTATCTTTATTAATCGCTGCTTCCTGGTAGGTAGTCGGCGTTTTGAACGAGTCACTTTTTTTTCTCTCTTTTTTTTTTTAAAGCGAGTGGTTGAAGCAAACGCAGCGTCTGAGCGCTTTTAGCACAAACAAACACTCCCACAAACTTCTGACCAATCACACCATATAGTTCGTATGTGTTCTTACATGGAGGAGGGTGAAAAGTTCGACCCGCGGGTTGGCACACTTCAAACACACACACCAGAGCCCAGAGTGACGGGGAAAAGCARGGGTGAGGGAGTGTGCTCCGGTCCGGTTCGGAACTGGTTAAAGTTATTTGTTCAAATGTATGATTGTCATGGATTATTCGTTTTGTAACTAAACGTTATAATATAGCACTATTTGGGTCATTTGTAGTGCACCAAAGCAAATAGATGACGAGGAGAGACGTGAACAGGAGCTGTGCATGTTGGCTCCGACTCCGAGAAGAAAAAACAGAGACGCAGCGCTGTATATTAATTATTYTATTCCCTCATTTGCACAGATCACAATGATGATGATTAAAACATTTTAATTTACAGAGAAGGGCGCATTTAAAATTTATTTTACATCACTGGCACAGCATTTAATTAATTAAGATTGCCCTTAAAAAAAAAAAAATCGCATTCCAACCCTTCAATCACCGATAGATGATTGAATCAAAAATCACGCCATCCATACTTCAAATATGCCTCTCACGTCACAGGAACCAGTAAAGAAGAAAGGAAGGACGGCGGCATCTGGAAAGGAGAAAGAAGAAACTTCAAATTTCCCAAGCAAACCCAAAGAAAAGAGACAAGAAGCTTCAAAGAAAGAGATTCAAGCAGAGAAATCCAGGTTTGCTTTTTTAAACTTAGTGACAAAGAATCTGTTGTGTTTGTTTTTATTAAATGTTCTCTCTGGGCTCGTAGTTCTCTGGAGCTGCCTTACGTAACGCCACTGGAGAACAAACGAAGGAGCTTCTCAACCAAAGCCCTCCACCCCATCATCCCAAAGAGCCGACCCACACAGAAACAGAGGAGTGAGTTCTCCACCACCCGGTGTGTTTCACTTCCTGTTCAGGTYCGCCCGTGTGACACGTTGCTTTTCCTCCGTAGGTGGGAAGCCGGAGGACGGGCGCCCTTCTCTTTTAGCCACGCTGTCGTCCAGCTCCTCGGTCCCGGAGCTGGGCCACAGCAGCAGCTCCGAAGGCGAGAAGGAGTTCGCTTCTCCCGAGTGGGACGTCCCTCTTTCTAACAACGCCGTCCGTAAGTCCCCACCTGCTCAGACATTAGCTCCACTCGTCATCAGAGGCGCTGATCTCCTGCTCTTCCCTCACAGAGGCAGACAGTCTACAGCAGATCTCCCTCCAGACCATAAACGCAGACCCCTTCCTGAAGAGGTCGGCCACAGCTGGGACCTGCTCCCCCCCGCCCACCTCCCCCAGCTCACTGTCCCGAGGTTCCTACAGCAGCGTGCTCAACAACAACAGGTCTGTTCTTTACTATTCCTCACAGCCTGAAAACATCTCAAAACTATAAAACTGAGGAACAGCTTTATTATTAAATTAACTGCTACGTTAACGAAACTCTGAAAACATCCAAGTTATTTTTTACATTTGACTTTTTACTGTATCAACACAGCAGACCGAAAATCACACAAAAACCATAAAATCAGAGTAGAAAACTTGTTTATATTAAACTGTGAAAACCCCAAGTGTTCATAATYGTTTTTATAACTTTTAATGCAAATCTGAACACTAATGTTCATAAATATGTACAAATTTAGCAAACAACAAAACTATTGAAGTATTTTCATTAAAATGCAAACTTTCTCAGGCCTTAGAACAAAGCAGTGACGTTACAAAAACAAACATTTTTGCCATTGATCCAAACAGTTTCTGATCAAGGCAGAAGATTACATTACATTATATTGTTTTGGTCGTTTTCTTTGTCCTGTTCAGGTTTACTCACATCTGAATCTCTTGTCATTATTTTGGGTGAAATGATCAAAAACAAAATGTGGCTCTGAGACTCCAAAATGTAAACCAGGAGATCAAAACATTTATAATTATAATTTATTATCATTTAGAATTTGTGATTTGCTGCAGATTGTTCTTTCTGTGACTAAAACAATAAAAAAATATATATACAGGTCCTTCTAAAAAATTAGCATACTGTGATAAAGTTCATTATTTTCTGTAATGTACTGATAAACATTAAACTTTCAWATATTTTAGATTCATTGCACACCAACTGAAGTAGTTCAAGCCTTATGCATATAACTACTGTTCCCTGAAGGAAAGGAACGAGGTACAACACATGGAGGCCCCGCTGCACAGCTGGGCTCGGTGAAGAGCAGTTACTGAACTAAGGAGTGACGGTGATGCGACAATATTTATATGTGCAGGCGGAGCCTGACATCTGTCGTCATCACGTCACCTGCCTAAAGGCGTGATTAGAGGTGGCTTCAGCCAGGACACGCAGGAGCGTGGTTCCCATACATGATGTTGTACCTCGTTCCTTTCCTTCAGGGAACAGTATGCATAACATTACATTTTCATCGCCGCCAAACTTCATTCAACTTTCTCRTCTTTTTTTCTTCTCTGCCGCTGCAACATGCGGGGTGATTATTCTGGCCGGGGTGGCTTAAACTATTTATCAGAATTTGAGTTTTACTTGGCCAATTGACACAATTTAAAAGCTGGTGTAAAGTTTGATGTCTCTGTTTTTGAGTGGCAGAGAGGGCGTACCTTTCTATTCAGAGTGACTGAGCTGTACCTGCAGGTCCAGGACCTCAGAGGCTTAGGGCACAATGTTAGTAATAGTTGTTCCATCTCTTCTTCACATCAGCTATTTCCTGTATTAAAAGGTTTATAGTCAGCTGTTGCATCACTCTAATGATCCTTTATCACAATAGTTTCTTCAGAATCAATTTCCAGTGTGGTTTTCTTATACTGTACATAAGCTAATTATCTTTTTCTTTTTTAGTTCTACATTATGCACTCAGTTAAGCTGTTTTACKTGGAATAAAGAGAAGATGTCAGGAAGGCTGTCTCAGTGAAACAGATCAGTTTTTGTGTTGAGTGTTTGAGTTGTCAGTATCTTATCTGCATTAGAATAGAAAGTATGATCCCAGTTTACAGAACCAGGGAGGACCTGCTTCCTAAAACAACTCTCATTCAAATATGTAATGACGGTGAGAGCAGATTTTCTAACATTATTTGTGTCAAGTCAACTTTGTATAAGACGGTTGTTTATTTTGGCACAATTTTTGTAATTGAATCATGTTTCTGTGCAGAAGAGTTTACACAGAGACAGATTCCTGCTGTCAATCAGCCGAATAAGTCGGGTGTTTTCTTTCCTCATGCCAGATGAACACACAGCATCTTTGATTTTTATTGTCTCAGTCTTATTGTTTAGAGATTAGACTCACAAAACCTGAAGCCACAGCTTATTTGTCAGAAGAATAAGGTTGATGTTTCATAGGGACGTGCACAGATACTGTAGACGTCAGGTGGTGCTCGAGCACCTGCCCTTTTCCCTCCAGACCATCAAGTGCCCCTGTCGAACCAGGTTTTTTTATGCTCCATCTGTCGCCCTTGGTTGCACTTCTTATTAAGTGTACAACTATAATGGCAACAGTATTAATATTAGTAATGATAATATTGCCCTCAYACCCTCCCTTCACCACACACACGTGCACACCCGCAGCTCCTGTGCRCCGTCCCTCAGTGAACGCGCTCGGACAGGAGCAGCTCCTCTGTCTTCTCTCATCCACACAACAGAGGACAGTTATAATCAGCAGGTAATTTACCTGCAGCCCCAGGCAAACTGTGCAGGACTGTCTCACATGTTTCACTCTTGTCCTGGTGTCGCGCAAGTTCAAAGTCCCACATTTGACTGATCAAATTATAACAAGACATAAAAAGAAAAAAATAAAGTAAGGGAAACAATCGACAGATGTTTTTTATTGGCTGCAATTTCCAACCATTAGAAAATGCCTCCTTATTTCTCACTGCCTTCTGTGCAGAAGGAGGAGGAGAGAAGAGAAAAAGGCATAATAAGGCAAAGACACAGCAGCTGCCAATCAAACGTGCAGCAGCGTGTTCTGCGTGT